TACTGATGACACCTCATGATCTAAGTCTCATATAAGATATATGGAATCAGAAACTTAGCAGTCATGGAATCAAGCAAACATTTTCTGAAGGTCAGAGCAAAACTACCACAGAAGTGAGGTGTTGAGCAGACTTTGGCTAGCTGACTGCTAAGTGGGCATAGGCAAGTTGTGCTGGTGGTTCTGGCTAGCAAACACGAGGAGGATTCTACAGGTCACCAATGACCTGCAAAGGAGACATTCCATTCTTTCTTACATTATATCCTGCATTATATTGTTGAAGGGTCACCCACCAGAGTTGGCCAAAACCTGCTGGCATTAGACTTTGAGAGATGTAGAACAGGATCCTTGATCGGCTGCTGTGATTAATTAGTTTAGCACTGTTCTTCTACACATGGATATGCATCTTGTAGTTGTAGCACAGCGATTCTTAAAATGTGGTTTTCAGGTTACAGAGTACGCTAGGCTCCCATTAAATCTAGTTTATAGCACAGGTTATCATCCAATGAATTTTGAGCAATACTGCATGAAACATTGAAACATTGTATCTGAATGCAACAAAAGGTAAAGGTAAAAGTTTCCCTATCAGTCGTGTTTGACTCTAAGGCAGGATGCTCATCTCTGTCTCTTGGCCAAGGGAGTTAGCGTTGCCTGAAGACAATTTCCACGGTCATGTGGCCAGTATGGCTATATGCCAAATATACATGGAACTCTGTTAGTTCACCACCAAAGTGATACCTATTAATCTACTTGTATTTGCAAGCCTTCAAACTGCTAGGTAGCTAGATGATGAAAGCAGCAGTGTGGTATAAAATTGCCCCATACACTCTACGTATTTATGCAGTGATGGTGAGATGAAACTAGTATGAATGTCTCTGCAAAACAAGCACTGGAAGAGCACATGCTCTGTTGTTTCTGTGTGCCCAGAGTCGCAGGGGCATTGTCTCTCTGGGTAAGGAATCTTTCTGTATTTGACAACATCTTGAGGGGAGGGCATGACATGGTGCCAGAGTAAAAGTCCTTCAGTGTTTAGAAATTTTGAATTTAATAAGGTATGTCATAAGGGAGACACAGTACTTGTTGGATTCACAATAAATACAATTTGGGGTCCTAACTAGGTCCATTTGTCTGCAATACTCTGCTTTGGCCTGATTGTATCCCATGCTAAATAGAACACCCGGAGAAAAACCCAAAGCTGAGATTTTAGGTGTAGCTGTCTGCTTACATGTGGATTGAAAAGAATTGCTCACAAACATCAGAAGTATATTCAATCAAATGAAAGGTCTCTCTAGCCCAGCATTGTGTGGCCCAAAATTATCAATCACATGCTATAGAAACTCCCAAGTAGGTCTTACAAGGTCAACAGCATTATCCTGCTTGTGTTTCCCAGTAAACACCAGGAGAACATTATGTGAGACTCCCCAACTAGTATCAACAGTAAATCACACCCCTGATACTTTCAAGACTTAGCTTGTCCACACTCAGCAGAATACTCTAAGACACAGCTTAGCTAGATTAGAATCTTTATTGAAACAAGAATGAAGCTGTACACCACAGCTGATGGTTTACCATCAGGAAAAAGATCTAAATGATTTGTATACCCTTAAACTTGTTATTCCTTCCTTCTGTCTTTTGGAATTAATGGATCCTGGCAAAATGCTCCCTGGTCTTAAAGCCAAACAGCTGTTGCATGTGCACACAAGGCCTCTTCTGCCCCAGGAACCATTCATTGCAACTTCCAGCAGCTTCATTGTATGTCAATACAGTATTTACATTATGTCTAGTAGTTATTGAGAGCTTTACAGCAATGCTGCTGTGACCTGCAATAATTTCATATGCTTTTTCTAATTTTTCTAGATTAAAAAAAAGATTTATAAATGTTCAGCATATTCATATCTCATAAAATTAGTGACTTAAATAACCAAGAATAATGTAGGAATATGAAGCAGCATGAAAATATGGAATAACATAAAGCCTCAACAATTGGCATACAAAAGACATACTGAAGATGCCCAGTGAGCAAATTCTGGCAGATAATTCTTTAACTGCAATACAACCACTATCATAAAAAACAAAAACTTTTCCCTGTCTTGACTAGTATATACTATAATGTATCAGCCCCTCCTCTACTGGAAATACTGTAAATCTTCCCAGTAGAAGAAGGGCTGATACATTGAACTTACATACAGGCATGTTGAATGGAAGACAGTCATCCCCTAAATACCTGGGTCTATCAAACTACTTTAAATAGTATAACCAAGGGTATCTACCCTTGACAACTTTAAGACTTGTGGACTTCAACTCCCAGAAGTCCCCAACTAGCATAGAGTTGCTCACCAGAGCTCTTCAGTACTGTCTTTTATGCTATCACAGGGGATGTCAAAATCACGTCGTCATGGCGATGTTATGTGACGTATCAGGACTTTTTCCCCCTTTGCTAAACTGGGTGGGGCACATGATGCATCCGGCCTGTGGGCCATGATTTTGACACCCCTGTGCTATCAGATGAAGAATTCTTCTTTGCTGTACATTTCAACTGTTGAGGGTTTATGTTATTCTATATTTTTATGCTGCTTCATATTCCTACATTAATCTTGGTTATTTGAGTCACTAATTTTATGAGATATGCTGAGCATTTATAAATATTCCATTTATAAATATAAATATATTATAAATATAAATATACAAGTTTTAAAGTTGCCGGTGTTGTTATAAACCTTGGATTTTCTGAAGATTTAGTCCAAGATGAATAAATGAATGAATGACATAGCTTTATGAAAATTACATACACAACCTCTAAATAAATGCTTTTCATTACTTGCTACTGTAAAGTTTCCTTGTCATCAAGCTGAATTTCTGGTCATTTCAGCAATACATCCATATGGCAGCAATATGGAAAGAGCTTAACTACCTCTGGGATTTTATTTTCAACTCGAATCTACAAACCTAGGATTTCTCAATGGCTTCCTATCCACACAGAGGTAGCCCTCGACTTACAACAGTTTATTTAATGACCATTCAAAGTTGCAATAACACTCTAATTTTTCACACCTCTGGCCTTTGTAGCATCCCCATGATCATGTGATCAAAAATCAGATGCTTGGCAACTGTGTCATACTTATGACAGTTGCTGTGTCTCAAGGTCATATTTTGCAACCTTTTGACAAGTAAAATCAATGGGGAAGCCAGATTCACTTTACCGTGTTACTAACTTATCAATTGCAGTGATTCACTTAACAACTATGGCAAGAAAGGTCATAAAATACTTAACAAATGCCTTGCTTAACAACAGAGATGTTGGGCTCAATTGTGGTCACAAGTCAAGGACTACCTGTATTAACCAGGTACATCTTTGCTTAACCTTTTCAAGAACAGTCACAGTCAACTAGGTGCTACCACACATTTGAAAGCATTTTATGGGATTTGGCTGTTTGAATGAGATCAGAATGTGCCTGAATATAACAGATTCAGAAAACTTTCAATGCATAATTTTAAGTATAAGAAGAAAACCAAGATGACCTATCCGTATCATTGTTGCAATCCCTTCCATGCTGAGAAAAATCAAGATCAAATCAGATCAAACCAGTATTCAGCATGAAAGAATAATCATGGATTAGGTCTGTGGCTTGAACAGTACTAAGAAAGGAATGTAAATATTTATAACAGAACAGGGTCTGCTTTTTTGTGCTGACATGCATGAATATTATTTTATTTGCATGACCTGCAACTTTGGTGGATTCAACTGCTGAAATGATAGTAACAATGCCTTTTCTACTTAAAATTGTAAATTTGGGGGGGGGGGGGGGGGGAAACAAAGGACATCTGCTTTCTATTTTGCTTGGAATTAGCAAAAGTCTATCCTAATTGCCAAAACAACTCTGAACAAATTCTTCTCACCGCACCCAAAACATCTCCTTGCTTTCCTCCTGCATAATTTCTTCTTCCAATGTCCCGTGCCATTTCTCCAGCATTGACATTTTATTGAAAAAGATTCCACTTGTATCAGATCACCCCAGGTTCACAGAAATTCAAGGGACATCATTCGGTTTAGAATAGCCTGATGGAGGATAGCTACAAAGAACACAGGAGATTCTTTCTTTTTTTAATTAGGGGTGCTTATTTACAAATCCATATTCCGGGTTTTGATCCGGTCAATTTTTTTTTTTAATTTTGAGACTTACACTGCAAGCTACATGGACTCATGTAGAATTACAATCAATTCAGAGGGAAGGATAACATTGCTTTGAACATAGGCGAGAACGCCTTGCCCAAGACGCAACTCAACTGCAGTCATGCCTCTGCAATAGGGGCAAGAGAAACTGAAAGAACAAGCAAAGGAAAGGTCTCTCTTGAGTCGAGATAGACATCTATCTAGCTTTATGGACGATCAACATGGAAGATTTCAATTTCCCAGACTTTCCATTTCAAGTCAAGGGTTTTTTTGTTTTGTTTTTGGGTTTTTTGGACTCCTGGAAACCTCTTGGATTTGCCCCTGCCGTTTTCTGGGGAAGGTTTCTCCAACACCAAAACCAACACCACCCGTCCCAGAAGTGGAGATTATCTGCTTGAGAAAGTGACTGGTCCTGGGTCACCCAGTTGGCTTCGGGACTAAAACGGGACAAGAACTCACGATTCCTGGTTTCTAGGCTGATGCCTTCACCAAAGCCAGCCATCCTCTCTCCCTTTTAGGGATGAAGCAGCCGCTTATCAGAGTAAACTTCCTCCTCCTTGGCTGGCGGCCCGAGCGGCAGCAGCAGCAGCCTCTTCCACCCGTAGTGACAGCAACTCCTCTTCTCCCTTTCCCCCACTTCTCCATCCTCCCGCGCTCCTTCTTTGGAAATCGCATTCCGGGACCCTGCCTTCCTCCTCCCCTCACCCCGCGCCCTTCAGGATCTCGTCCTTGGCCCGAATCCACTCGCCGCGGCTCCTCCTTCCCTTCCCTCTTTCCCAGCTCGCTCGGTCTCCGGCCCGATCCCCTTCCCTTTCGCCTCCCGGGCACTTACGTAGAGGGACTGGACTCTGGAGCCGTAGAAGTGGAGCGGCGTGTCGAGCGAGAGAGGCGCGGAGCTGACATCGTCCCCCGCTTCCAACGCCTCGTCGCCCCGAGCCGAGCCGAAAGGGAAGAGGAGCCCCTCGCCAGGAGAGCAGCCCCCCGGCGCCAGCAGCGCCAGCAGCGCCCACAGACTCAGCTCCCTCATAATCCCGCGCTTTCTTCCAGTCGCCTCAAGGGCGAGGCGGCGGGACGCGCTACAAGTTTTAAACCCCGCCGGGGCTGCGAAGGAAAGAGAGGAGGGGGACGCGCTGGCTAGAATGGGGAACCGACCAATCAATAGACGATTGAGAAAAAAGCTACCCTATCGCAAGGCGAGGACTTGCCTGGGCTTTCCTTCCCCCACCCCCCACACACTCCCCCCACCCCACCCCAAGCCATAAAAGAAAGAGTCGAAGCGTGGGATCCTTTAGCTTCCTCCCATTTCCCCGTCCTCTTTTCCCGCCTTCTTCCAGGAGCTCCCATGGTCACGTTCTGTAATGCGAGCTCCGAAAATGTCTTACTCGCCTACTCGTGAATGGTTGGGTATTAAAACAAAAACAAAAAAAAACTAAACGACAAACGTGCCATTCTTCTTCTTCTTCTTCTTCTTCTTCTTCTTCTTCTTCTTCTTCTT